AGCGCATGAAATTTCCGACTACAGCATGCCTGTGGCTGTGCATGTACGTTAAGAGCGATTACATATGCTGAATAAACTACAGCAATAAATATATTAAAGCGATAAAACTGGACAAATATATAAAAAGCCCTTATAACATAACTGCGAATGATTTTTGTGATTGCATGCAATTATACCACTGCCAGGCAAAGTACATGCACGCTTAATTGCTTTTATCTATTCCCAAAGTATGCTATAGGTAGCGAAATGCATGAAATGTTCTTTCTTTTTCTTCGGAATTATCACATAAACGTGATCAAATGTTTTAAACATATGATTTATTAAGCTGTTTGTTCAATGACACACTGAGATGATATTTCTGTGCGTATTTAATGCCACGCCAAATTGCAAATAATTGCAAATAATTTATCTAAATTCACAGCGCACAAGTTTGTTTCCCCAAAAATGTTTTTCCATAGAATTTTAGAACAGTATTAGTAGTTTAATTTCAAGTTTGGTCTGGGTGTATAACTGGTTGCACTTTTGATAAAAACAAAGTTGAATGATGACTATTTTTGCAATTTTAACGGCACGACAAAATTGCCGTTAGAATTTTTTAAAAAAAAATTCGAATTCCTGTAATATATACAAATCATTGCCGTCAAATTGTTGTATAGCTGTAAGTCTTTCAAGTGACTCAAAAATAGAAACCAAATTATGCCGTGCGCACATCTGGAGTTCCTTTGAAAATGGGTAATTTTACGTCTGAAATTGTCTAAAATAGCCATGCCAGACACAAAATAGAAAATATCGCAAAACTTGAAAAATAAAATAAGAATGCAAAAGATGTATGCATATTTATTACACACTAACAAAGGCCAATAAATGACAGAATTATGAAGGGAAAATATTTTTCAACGCGTAAGTCGGTAGGAGGATCTTAGGGAGACAGCCTCTTAAATGCTACTTTGAAGTACTTTCAGAACTAAACATGTAAGTATCCTTATTCTTAATACTATTGATTTGATTTAAGTCTTCCAAATATCAATTGAGACTCTTTTAAACGTACGATAAACACATGGATTGTGTCTTGTGTAAAGTGTGCACGGGTCAAAGGTGAGCAATATAAACCAATTTTGGGAGGCAATAGCGTAACGCACAGTCATTTGCCCAAAGTAATCTTTATATCATTCGAAAGAACGTTATTTAGACTTGCCGATTAGCAAAGTTTCAAGACATTCAAAGCTTAAGCACATTCACAATATGAATTTTTGTAAAACATACTTTTATCGACTCGATTTACCGGTCTTGCAAATAAGATTATTTTAAAAGGTCAGAATTGTTCTATTGACTCCAAAGTCGCACAATCTGTCGAGTGAGAATTGTACTAGCAGGCTGAGGTGGTTTTATGTGCATAGGATCAGTATTTTCTTGGCTTGAAACCGCTAAAGTGCAATCAAATGTAAGGGCTAAAAATAGCATTTCCAACCGTCTTCGAAAAAATGCAAATTTCTCCTTTTAAAAACAATATTTGATCCAATTAACTACACACCAATTCTTGGGATACTTAGGCCTATTATTCCAGTAAATATGAGCTAAAACGATTTTTGAAAGTTGGCCAGACTTGTTTGATATTTACTGACAAGCCCTCTTAATGGCTAATAATACTTATTAATGGATTCTTAGTCATGTCAGAGAATACACAAAGCACAGTTTTCAAGTCAGATGTGGTAAGTCAGTCTGAGCTAGGTTTTATTATTTCTTAACCTTTTTAGATATAAATTGAAAGGTTATTGCATGGAAACACTATCACTTTCTACTAACCAGAAATTCAGAACATTATTACCATAAAAGTTCATAATGCCAGGATTTCGCGATCAAAGATGGCTGCCTTGTTATTATCTTATAGCTCAGTGGTTATTATAGAATTATACAAGGCACGAGACAAAATTTAAAATTAAAGCAACTTCTATCTTATACAGAGTGTATCAAAAAAAATGTCCCAAATGTAAAATTTCCGTTTTTCAGGATATTTTGCAGGATTTGGCAATTTTTTGTGTTGCTAGAGATAGTTAAGACTTATCTGGTATACCTAGGCCAAGTTTGGTTTTTCATTTACAAAATTATGTTACCGGGGGGGTGGTTCCTTTCCACTGATATTGAGAGGGCTTGCGCGCGAAAATGTGAAGCTGAAATTGAGATATTATTTAGCTGTCTAAAAGTAGGAAAGCTTTTTAATAAGCTGTCAAAGTTTCAGGAAAAATAATGGAAACTGGGAGCAACGCGTGACCCCTAAAAGTGACAAATATTTCATTGCGCGCAGTGGATTAAATGCATGGTTGATTTTAGCGTGACAGATCTCATGCAAGGCTGTGCAAATGAATAAATTAAAGCGAGAAACTGAACAAGAAGACGAAGCGATTTAATAACAAGATTTTTATTCTTGATGTTAATCCTCAACATTTCTACCATTTCTTTCTAAGCAAACTGCGGCTCGTCTGAGCATGGTAAGCACTGAACGGCGAACCACATTTGTCTGTCCTGCCTCAAATTATCCATTTAGTTCGAAATTCTTTCTTGCAAATCGCCTACGCTACCACCGGCAAATCTAGGCGAATGGACAGACAAATGGTTCGCTGTTCAGTGTTTAGTATGCTCAGACAAGCCGCAGTTTGCTTAGAATGAAATGGTGGACATGCTGAGGATTAACATCAGGAATAAATCGCTTTGTTTTTGTGTTAAGTTTCTCGCTTTAATTTATTTGCCCAACGTGTATGAGATCGGTCACGCTAAAATCAACGATGCATTAAATCCACTGCGCGCAATGAAATATTTGTCACCTTTAGGGGTCGCGCGTTGCTCCCAGTATGCATTATTTTTCCTGAAACTTTGACAGTTTATTAAAAAGCTTTCCTACTTTTAGACAGCTAAATAATATCTCAATTTCAGCTTCACATTTTCGCGCGCAAGCCCTCTCAATATCAGTGGAAAGGAACCACCCCCCCGGTAACATAATTTTGTTACTGAAAAACCAAACTTGGCCTAGGTATACCAGATAAGTCTTAACTATCTCTAGGAACACAAAAATTTGCCAAATTCTGCAAAATATCCTGAAAAACGGAATTTTTACATTTGGGACATTTTTTTTGATACACCCTGTATAATAACAAAGCAGAAATTTTTGATTGCAAAATCCTGGCATTATGAACTTTTATGGTAATTAATGTCCTGAATTTCTGGTTATGAACCATGCACATTTTGTGCGTTGTTTATGACAATTAAGTTTTCAGGGGTACTGAAATCTTTCTACATTTGTAAATAAACGTCGAACGAATAAAGTTTCCTGTATCTTAAAAGCAAGCGAACAACGATAAAATAGACATTTTTTCGCGAGCGACGGCGCTATAATATTCCGTTATAATCTTTAAATAGCTGGCCTACTTTTTCAGCTGGTAATGTTATGTTTGTATATATTTTGTAATTTGTATATATTTAAGATTATGTTATTGGATTAAAGTTAAGGTAGATTATAGGAAATAGTGAGTTTTGTTTTCCCAAGAGTCTGAATGTTTCCCGAAACGAAGTTGAGGGCAACCTAATTGAGACTGGAGGGAAAACAAAACTCACTATTTCCCGTGGTAGTGTACATTAAGTGTTTTGTTATATAGGAACGAAAGCATACATGTTACAGAACAATTTCATTTTATTTCATTTAAAAAGAAACCCACTTTACTTTGTTGTGACAGCAAGCAGGCAATAATTTTTCACTTGTTTCCCTGGCGGGAAACATTGCATTTATTTAAAGTCATTTGACTACAAATGAACCAATCACATTTAAAATACAAAGCACCTATATAACAAAGTATATTGTAAACATAAGGAAAATCTTGTCATATACAATTCCACGAAGACGTTTACAACATAAACGATATTGTATATTTCAGTGAAGTTGTTTATCTTTATATCAAAAACCCTAATTCCATGGGCTAAATTTTCAAGCGATATGCAAAATATTTATATTAAGTAGCTGCAAATACAATGTACTGGCAATATTCCAAAATGTAACAACATATGTCAATAGTCAATTCATCTGTTATATGGAACAAAACTGAATTATTTTGTGGAGGAAGGATTGAAGGAATATATAATACATATATAATTATGCAAACAAACACAATGTTAGTTTGTAAACAGTTACAATTAAGCAGTTTCTAAACAGTTAAATCAGTACATTTTATTTGCAGCTATATACTTAATATAAATCTATACACTATCCAAACAACAATTTTGCTGCACTTAACATATACATATAAGCTTATTTTGTGCTATATAGTCATAGTTCATAGTAATAGCTTTTCATATTGAATCACATTAGCCAAGAAAACCACAGGTTTATCCTACACAATTTCTAAAACATTTTTATTTAAAAAAAAGTTTGTAAAAGTAAATGTTTGGTTGGACATGAAAACTTCTCGGATCACAGTTACATTTAATACTAATACTTTTCTAAACGAGAGCTAGGGTATATTCCAAAATTCCATCCCAACACAACGTTGTTCTCAAAGAGGCAAGATTTTAATTGATTGCAACTGTTAGTTACTTACAGATTATTGTTGTATATTTTTAATCAGCCTCCAGTCATTAAAACCTTGGGTGAGAATGGCAACTGTTTAATTATAATCTGAGTTAATTAAGGTACAAAAAACACTAAAATATTTTCATTTTCTATACAATTTTACTTACAAGCAAAATTATGATATATTTGGGTCAACCAAAGTGTAGTGCATTGTTCAGGGGTAATCTGATTCAATAATGATAAGCTGTTACTTTGAACTATGACTATGTATTGAAAAATAAGCTTAAATGTGTATATATTAAACACAGGAAAATTGTTGTTCGCATAGATTTATGCTGATATACTAAGTAGCTGTAAATAAAATGTAGTGAAAAAGATATTGTTATATTGTGTATTTAATGAAGCTGTTCTTGCATATTTTATATCATGCAGTATGCAATTAACCCTTTATACAGCACAGTTGCCATTTGGCAACAATACATTCCATCCCCTCGTGTATTGGGGGCTTGGGCGCTAATGAAATTTTAAATAGTGTTACATCAAGTACTGCATAAAAGAATTCATGGATAAACATGGCGGCCAGATGCTAGTCTTCTTTGGTGGGTTAATTTCAAGCTAAAAAGGTACGTTTTTGAGTGCCATTTGTGGTATAATTACTGAATGTATGTTTATTAACAAATACATGAGCTACAGAAATAGAAATTGGGTAAATTTACATGTTAAATGTTGACTTTCTATTGCCTTAACAACGTCTTCCGTTCGACGAGGAGAAGTGTTATTGTTGGACATCTTTATATTTAGTTGCCATATGGCAACTATGCCAAATAAGGGTCATATTACCAAGTGGAACTTATACAAAATGAGGTTCTGTTTTGCTATTTAGTTTTCCTATAAGAGACTAAATTGTTTATTCCTACTGGTACTTTGCCATTACCAGAACTAGTAAATAGACACCATCATTTGTTTTAATTTTCAGAAGTGTTTGTATGGAAGCAACAGAACAGATAAGATATGATGCGCATCAGGCTTTTCGGTTGTTCTTGGAGCCAGGGGGTTCTGATTCTGAGATGTCGGAATTGGAAGATGAGGAAGATGGGGTAGAAGATGAAGTTTTGCTGCATTCCAAAGGGCAGAGTGTTTTAGAGTTAGATAGTAAGTTTGTTATTTTGTCTAGTTATCTAACACAGTTTATGTAAGTATACAATAGACATAGTCAGAATTTTAAATCTGGTGATGTTCATTAGGGGAGGAAGAAGTAAATGATGATGGCAGTCACAATACACCTTTGGATAATGCAACCATTAGGGACAATGTCATTTCTGATTCTGACAACAGTGATTTAGAGAGTGGTAAACCTGCTAGTGATACAGCACCCAAGAATAAAAAGCCACGCTACCGTTGGCGCAGTCGTGATCCACCCGTAGTTGACTCTGTGTTCAAAGGCAACAATTTCTCATTACCTCCTGATGATGTGGATGAATGGACGCCACTGTCATATTTTAGCTGTTTCTGGACAGATAGCATGACAAATCAACTGGTTGAACAAACAAACCTATACAGTGTTCAGAAAGCTGGCTTGAGCATACAGACAACCAAGGAAGAAATTGAGCAGCTGATTGGCATTCAGATGAGAATGGGGATAGTGACAATGCCAAGATACCAAAACTTTTGGGCTGCAGAGACGAGGTATGAACCTGTTGCTAATGTCATGAGTTTGAAACGGTATGAGAAGTTACGCCAATATTTACATGCCAATGATAACTCTTTGATCAACACTCCACAAAACAAAGGCAATAGACTATACAAGGCAGAACCAATTCTTGTGGCTCTGAGGGAAAATTGCAAAAAAATTGAGCAGGAAGAATACCAGTCAATAGACGAACAAATTGTGCCTGCGAAAACTAAATACAGCGGTATTAGGCAGTATAACCCTAAAAAGCCACACAAATGGGGATTCAAAAACTTTGTAAGAGCAGGAAGAAGCGGACTTATTTATGACTTCTTCTTTTATGTTGGGGCAAAAACCACTGGCGGAGACCAATGTAGTGCCAAGAGTGTTGTGTTGAAGTTGTGTGAAGCAGTACCAAAGCATTGTAATTATAAGGTAATTATTGTGATTACATAAAATTTACAGTGTTGCCACTGCCAACAAAGCTTCTTCCCTTATCTGGTATTAGACAGAGTGGAATACTAATAAAAGTGGCCAGTTTATGCCGGAGTGCTAGAGAAAGGATAATTTTTATGTAATTTGTATTTCTTGTATTGAAAACAATATTCACATATGGGCTATTCTCTTCACTAGGTATATTTTGACAATTGGTTTGCCACACTTGATTTACTTGCTGAACTAAAACAAATTGGAATTTTAACAACTGCAACCCTGCGATCCAACCGGTTAGCAGGATGTCCTTTGAAGACAGAGAAAGAACTCAAGAAAGCTGGCAGGGGTAGTTACTCATACCGAACTGACCAAAATACCGGCATAGTCGTCCTCAGATGGTTGGACAACAAGTGTGTGCAGCTTGCTTCCACATATTTAGATTCAAGAATTTCAGGAAAGCAAGTGAAGAGGTGGGACTCCACTACTAAAACCCACAAACAAGTCCCATGTCCCAACATTGTGGTTCAGTACAATCAGTCCATGGGGGGAGTGGATCTTGTTGATATGCTGATTGCCTTGTACCGATGCAAAATTAAGACAAAACGCTGGTATTTGGTTCTGCTGTTCCATGCGGTTGACATTGCCAAGGTCAATGCATGGCTATTATATAGAAGGCATTGTGGCCAACTAAAGATTGCAGCTAAAAATCAAATGACCTTGCTGACCTTTGTTAGCAAGATTTCAGATGCATTGCTGAAGGCGGGGAAACCTGGCACCGCGGCAAAAAGAACTCCCGGAAGACCACCAAAACGTGCATGTGACCAGAGAGAAGAAGTAACTCCGAAGAGAAGAAGAGCTCCTAAAACAGCAATTCCAGATAATGACTCAAGATATGATGGTTTATGTCACTGGCCGGAATATCGAGAAAATAAAAACAGATGTTGCTTGTGTAAAACTGGCTTTAGCCGTGTATACTGCCAAAAGTGTGGTCTATGCTTATCATCCAACAAAAACTGTTTTACTCAGTTTCACACCAAATAGACCAAATAGCTTGGTCACATGGTTTTATGAACATTTAATGAACATTTGAACTCAGTATTTAAAATGTTTTGTACTACTAGTTTCAACTAGCTTTTTCTACCCTTATACCGCATAGTTGCCATATGGCAACAAACTTAAAATTGAAGCCAAATAAACTTTTTAACTTTTTTAACTTAAATGTGTGTTATTTTGGTTATTTTTAATTAAAATTTGACATAAATTATTTTTTTAAACCGCAATATCATAATGTGCTGTATAAAGGGTTAATATGAAAATTTGGAAATTCAAATTTGGATCCAAAAAGTTTTCATTTCCAGCCAAAAATTACTCAATTTCAATAGCAATGCAGATAATAAACGGAGCAGCGCTCAAAGCTCCACTTTATAGGTTTATGAATGAGACCAAATCAACAAATTTAACTGTTTACAAACTAACCTTGTGTTCGTTTCTTCGTTTGCATAATTATATATGTAGTATATATTCCTTCCCCACAAAATAAATCAGTTTATGTTCCATATAACAGATATAATAATTCAGCGTACTTGAATTAGTGCAAAGGCTAAGTTCGGCTGCGAAATTTGGTAAAATACGGAAAAAACAGCCATGCCAAATTGGCATATTTGTACGTATTTATAATACATTATTATATACCACTTGTCAAAGTTTGGTGTTCGTAGCGTTTCATTGGTCGAGAGCGAACACGTAAGAGTGACGAAATTTTGATGTCGCCCGCGCAACCCCCAGCAGGGGGAAACAATGCATTATTTCATGGGAAATAACAACTTTAATCACGTGCTGCACTCGTGGACATCTGACCTTTAGTTGACATTGGGCTAAGTTGACCTTCGTCCTTCGCAGCGTTTGTTTTTGACAACTGTTAAAAACTAGAATGGAAAGATTTGCCAGCAATACTAGCGACATTTCGTTGTTTACTTCGTTGTTTAGTTTTTCTTTGACAAGTGGTATATAATAAAAAACTTATTTACTGCGACCTCAGAAAACATTATGTTTAGTGGACCCTTGACCGTCGATATTTCACTCGGCTTCGCCTCGTGAAATATCGACAGGTCTCGGGTCCACAAAACATAATGTTTCCTTCGGTCGCAGTAAATAAGTGTTAATTATTACGCGCGGAAATTGTGTACAAACTTCCGGTGTCACAGGAAATTTGCCCCCCCCGAGAATTTGGCCCCCCCGGGCCAAATTTCCTAGGAAATATGGCCCCCCCGGGCCAAATATCCTAGGAAATTTGGCCCTCCCTTCGGAAATTTGGCCCCCCTCTAAAAAACATAGTTTACCTTACCATTTTAGAGCTAGAGAACCGTTAAGTGTATAAAAGTCTATCTAGCTGTACTCTTGTTTGAGTTACAACTTACAAACAGCATTGACGGATTTTGTATGGTGCATGTAACCTTGTTTTTGTGTTTGCCGATTGTTTTTAAACGTTTTTATGCAAATTTGTATTAATTACTCCCTAAATGTTAGCCGCATACACATTAACACTTTCGCCAACGCATGTTGTCATCGCTTGCTAAAGTGTGGTTGTTATTCTGACGAATTTCATTTTAGGTTCAGAAACTTGTTGAATATTGAGTCAAAAGTTCGCGATTTCAAAACTATATATATTTTATATATATATTGAGAGTATAAAGTATGTTATCGAGGGGGACCAAATTTCCGAACTGTGAAATACGTGATTTGTCCTCCTCAGAAATTCTTAATTTGGCGTCCTTATAAAGGCTATAAATTATAGGCTTAGCAGTTATACATACATATAGGAAAGGTTGTTTTAGGAAATTACCACTTATTTATTTATTTCTCGATTAAAGCCCCTAGTAATGTTATGATAATCCTAGAAGTTAGCCACGTGCACATTAACAATATTCGTCATAGCTCTTCGCCGAGATGAAAAGGTTTTACACAAATAAATGAAGCAAACTAAGTATGAATACAAACAAACATTTACGATCTTGCTTTTAGAAGAAGCTTCACGATTCTCGAACTCAAGTATATGTTTTCGAGGGGGCAAAATTTCCGAAAGGGGGGCCATATTTCCTAGGAAATATGACCCCCAGGGGGGCCAAATTTCCTAGGAAATATGGCCCGGGGGGGCCAAATTTTGGGGGGGCAAAATTTCCTAAGACACCGGCCATAAGATTCCGGCTTTTCCCATTCCTGGTTTTAAAGATTCCGGCTTTTCCCATTCCTGGTTTTAAAGATTCCGGCTTTTCTCATTCCTGGTTTTAAAGATTCCGGCTTTTCTCATTCCTGGTTTTAAAGATTCCGGCTTTTCGCATTCCTTGTTTTAAAGATTCCGGCTTTTCCCATTCCTGGTTTTAAAGATTCCGGCTTTTCTCATTCCTGGTTTTAAAGATTCCGGCTTTTCGCATTCCTTGTTTTAAAGATTCCGGCTTTTCGCATTCCTTGTTTTAAAGATTCCGGCTTTTCGCATTCCTTGTTTTAAAGATTCCGGCTTTTCTCATTCCTGGTTTTAAAGATTCCGGCTTTTCTCATTCCTTGTTTTAAAGATTCCGGCTTTTCGCATTCCTTGTTTTAAAGATTCCGGCTTTTCGCATTCCTTGTTTTAAAGATTCTGGCTTTTCGCATTCCTGGTTTTAGCATTCCCCGTTCCCTTCCCCGTTCCCTTCCTCGATTCCCCGTTCCTGGTTTTAAAGATAGCCTATTCTGTACCACATTTTTTATGGATGAAAATGCAAGCTAAACAGAAATCAGTAAAACACACCAAAAATCCAGTGTTGTTTGCAGTATTCTGTATGATTGACTTCACAAGTACAGGTTTATTCGGAACAGATAAAATACCCTGTTGTCTTGCTGTGTATACTATGTCAACCTCAGCATCATGAATAAACAATCTTTGTTGGAAGTCTTCCAAATATGTAATTTTATTATCAATGTTCAGGGATTCATAAAATAACATAGCATTTTTTGCAATAGCAGCTCTTGTGGAATCATCCCAGTATGTACATGATTTAATCGTAGAAAAACAAATAGAGTAAAATGTATATTGCACACAATTCTAAAAATGTGATTATTTCAGTTTTTTCATGTGATGTGTCAACCAATTCACCGATTCTACATGGTCCTTTATGCTATTTGTTGGTTGTTCATTTCCAATAACAATTTGAACTCCTTTCAGTTCAAACAAAACATCACCATTGTAACATGTTTTAAAATATTCAGCTAGACGATCAACTGAGGTTACTTCTAGCAATACACATATCCCATGTGCTTGAGGCATACCGAAGGAATCTCTTGCATGTGAATCAAATATTTTTAGTGAGCCATTTGGCATCAAATACAGTACTGCCAAGAAATAAATTGTCACCGCGTCTACCCGCGTCTTGCGTCCACTCTGCCCGCATCCTGCCTCCAACTGAAAACTGCGTCCACTCGAAGCAGTCTTCGGAACATAATCGAAAAAACTTTACTGTATATCATGCATATTTCTACACGGCCGTATTTTATCGTTTAAAGTCAGAATAGGCGTAAGGGATGGCAAAGGCAAATAGTGAAATATGTTTAACGCGGGGATAAGTCAAACCTACGCGTGTTACACACCTTTCACAGCTTTTGTCGTATGTTTAATACAAGAAAATATATCGTATTTTTTCTTGTATTTTCTTAAATTGTTTGCTGTTAAATGGTAATGATATTTTTAATGTTTATGCAATGTTAAACATTGTATATACTGCAGTTTGGAAACTGTTGTTGTTTATATTATGGCCATAGGCATAATCTATGCAATGTTTTTATAAACAAACATTGAGTATGCCTAAATGAGTAAGTTCTGAAGAATCACATTGACAATATTTATATGTCAGTTCCGCGAAATGTCAATGCAGTTACAACTCTAACATATACAATATCGACTACATATAATATATATACATGCATAACAAATATTACAGTAAAAGGCAAAAATTTCCTACCTCCGCTCCGATATACTATAAACAATTCAGCAAATCAAGGCAATATTATATTATGTTATTAGTTTGAGTTTGGCGCTTTTGTCGTGTAGGCTTAAAGCTATTCACACCTTGTAATATGGGTAATCACCCATGACTGGGACACGCTTGTTATTGTAAATTTTTCACTTTGATCACTTATATATTGCAGCGCTACACATCAGTTAAACATGGAATCGACATAAAGCGTTTCAAGTGCATGTTAAAACAAAAAATATTTTCTGTTTCTTTAATAAACGATTCAGTTTCTTAAAAATAACATTTGCGATCTGCTAAACATAGTAACTATTTTTATTTGTGACACTTAGTTCGTTTCGGCGCTTTTGAAAATGGTAATTACTTGATAATTACTGACAAACATGATGAAATCCCTAAACAGTATACCATAAGGTTGAAACGTTTGACTCATTTCACTTCCTTCTCTCGCTATAAGCACAGCAACTGGCATCAGAACATCAATTAAATTTTGTCGTAAAATGAGTTACCGATCGCTGACACGCCAACCGAAACGCATGTTAGTTTTTTTTGAAGAGGATCAAACAACATGCATTTTGCCTACCAACAAGGTGAGCAAAATACTTGGATCAAACCAAGCGCTATCGGACGGAGCTAAGGAAGAGGTCATCTACGAAAAGAAACTCTACGAAGCACAAATTCTTAAAATTCATGGTAAGTCTCTAATTTCACTTAGAAATATAGTATAAACAGTTATCTATATGCTTTTTTCCCCGAAACATATTGTTTACGAATTAGAGCGCATGAAGCGCTGTTCAGTCTTCAATCAAATTTTATCATATATCTCTGCACGATGTATTCATTCATTTTTTCGCTGTATGTGAATTTAGATGATCCCACAGTCCTTAGTGATGTTGAATCCCAACTTAAACTAAGTGTAATGAAAGAGAGCCATGAGAGCACTAATGACAATGACGCGAATGACAAGGAAAACATCCCCCCGGCAAAACGGCCAAAATACAAATGGGGAAAAAGTCAACCTATAATGAAAAAGAAGGAGTAACCGAAAAAACATCTAAAGGCTTAAAAGGTATTTGATTTACATTTAGAGCTTATATTTTAGACTTTTAGTTTTACATGGTTGTTACAATTATTTACTTCGTCAATTAAAACCAACCAAATTATAGCAATATTTTCCACTAGTTTTTACCTGGAGTAAGTTTTTTCTTGCTTGTAATTTATAATATTACTGTCTGTAAAACAT